CCTTTTTTTTTTTTTTTTTTTTCTTTTGGTACCAGGGATTGAACTTGGGACAAATGTACACTCTTAATAGGAAATGCTTTCTTAATTTTGTCTCAACACTGAAAAACATAATTTGCTGCCCAGTTATATAATCTAAGATATCTACTAGCATCAAACTTCTGTTATTGATCTCATTTCAATGAACACCTAAATGTTTGATTTTGTAATGGCTTATTAACCTCAAGACTTCTTCAAAGAATAAACAGTATGTTGTACTATCAAAAAATTCCCACAATGGAAATTAGCCCTCATTCTGCCATTAATTACCTATCCGACTTCGGTCACCTCACTTTACCTCATTAAATATAAGCTATATACAGGAATTCAACCAGATTCCCTTCAACTCTAAATTACATGAGCATTATTGTCTTAAATTAACAATTATTCTAATTTTTATGTGTGACACATAGACAAAGGCCCCCTAAACTTAACAAATGAAATCAACAAGCATTTATTTAATGCCACTTAATGGGATGTATTAAAAAGTGAGTGGTGTACAAGGACTGGAGATAATCATAATATATTCTACATTAAACAACTTTTAAAATGTCATCTTTCTAATTGAAAGCTAAATGTATATAAATTATTGCAAATTTATAAAGATAGTGAAGGCAAAAATTATGCCACCAATCCCCCAATTATTAAATGTATTTACAGTCTTGTCTCTTTTCTATAAACATATACTATATTAATAAATTGCTATCCAATTGAATTGTTCAGTGAGCTTTTTTATTCCCCAAATGGGTATTAAATTTTCAATATCATTAAAATTATATTTTTTGAGATTAACATTAATTTTCACCTCTAGCTATGATGAAGTAACTGCTACCAGATTTGTCATATAAGACATAATTGGAAATCTGCACTAAATTTGAAACAAGTGTTTAAAGTCATTGAACAAGAAGCCTCACAAGTCTTTCATTACTAAGAGAGAATGAAAAACAAAATAGTTCTCAGGCTTTCCAAACTACAAAAAAAGGGGATATAAGCCAATCACAGAAGAAGATGCAGAAACCGTGGTTTGGAAAGGCAAAGATGTCTGAAAAGTAAAAGCCAGAGTACCTGAACAGAAAGGCTCATACGCGTGCACGCGCACACACACACACACACACATATACATATACACACACACACACACACACACACACACATCTACACACACACACACACCAGAAATCTGCATAGATGTTCCCTTAAATCTTTGGCTGTACAACAAGCTAAGCATACATAGGACTATATGATGAGAAACAAAGAACTAACCAGTGAAGAAACAACTACTGGAAACCGTAGCTTAATATTTTTCAGAACTGAAACAAGATCGTAAATTGTTTTAATTCTGAGCAGCCAAAGTGAGGAATACTTATTGAAATCCCCGTCCATTCACAAAGGGACACCATAAAGAACATTTTAGTAGGGCTAAACTACCTCTAAAGTAAACTCTACTACAAAACCTTCCCTAAAATAAACTTTAAAATGAGCCTCAAAAATTAGGTTACCCTGCAATTAAATTAACTGGCTACCAAACAAACTAAGACATGTAGACCATTAAAGGAGAACATCTAGAACTTCAATAACATAGCATTCATGATTCCAACATTTGATCAAAACTTTTAGTAGATGAAATAAATGGGATTCACTTTAACCAGGAGGAAAACTGATCACTAGTAACAGAATGAAATATAATGAAAGTGAACAACTCTTAGAAAATATTTCAAGGATTTAAAGGAAAAGAAAAATATAATTGTGGGAAAATGAAAGACTAAAAAATGCCTAAATGGGGCTGGGGATTTAGCTCAGTGGTTCTGCTGCCTGCTTCTCAAGTGCTAGGTCCTGAGTTCAATCTCCGGTACCAAAAACAAAACAAACAAATAAACAAACAAAAAATACCTATATGGAACTACTATGACTGAATAAAATATCTGAAACCAAAAATATACTATGTGGGATTGATACAAAATTAGACTTTCAGAAGAAATAATAAATTAGAAATAGAAAGGATTTACCTCAACCACAGAAAGATTATCTATAACTAATTAATATTTAAAGATGAAAATACTAAGATTAGGAAAATAAGAATGTTCCTCTTCATCATTGCTAGAAAGAATTGCATTGGATGCCCTAGGACAGTAAGACCAAAAGAAGAAAAAGAAAAATTTTCAGATTGGAGAAAAAGAAGAAAAATTTTCATTATATGCATACAACATGATTATATATAGTATGTAGAAAATCCTAAGAAATCTGCAAACAGCTGTTATAACTAGTAAGTGAATTCAGTAAGATCACAGAATATAAAGTCAATAAACAAAGGCTAGTTTTTTGATGTTCTAACAAAAAATTGGAAATAAAATTTTTATAAAACAATTCCATGAATAATAGAATATAAAATATAAAATTCTTACAGATACATTAAGAAAAAAACATAGGAATTCTATATTGAAAAACACGACTTTAAAGAAACTAAATAAATGATAAGTTATATGATGATTAGAGATTATACTAAGATTACTTTAATAAAACTATATTATTAAAATATAATTTCTCCAAAATCCTTGATCCAATACAACTTTTTTGTGTAGAATCAACTGAAATGACAATTCCCCAATTTATGTGGAATATGTTAGAGATTTTGAATAGTTTAAAAGAATTTTAAAGGAATTAATGTGGAAGAGTCCCACTACCTTTTCCTTATTTATTATAAAGTTATAACAATCAGCACTGTGTGCTTTCAGAGTAAGGATAATACATAGATTAACAAAGAATCTGGAAGCAAATTAACATGTATATTGATTTTCAAAACAGTTGACAAGGTAATTGAGTAGGAGCACAAATGGTCTTTTTAACAACTGATGTTGGAATGACTGAATACCCACGTGGAAAAAAATAAACCTTGCCCCTTACCTCACACTGTACATAAAAAATTAATTAGAAATGACCCATGGACATAAATGAAAAACCATAAAACTTCTAAAACATTAACATGAGAGAAAAAGCCTTTTAAAATCAGGTTAAATATAAAGTTTGTTCATCAAATGATTACTATAAAGTCAAAACTAATAAACTGGGCATTACCATACTAAAAAATTCGAAAAGTCACAATTAAGACAAGGAGAAACAAATAATAGACGAAGAAGCAAATGCAATCCAAATGGCCCAGTAAAGACTCCTATCAAGAACCCTCAACTGTCACAATTCAGTAGAATGTATACACAGTAAGAAGACAACTAAATTAAGGAAATTGTCAACTGTGATGACATCATACATCTACTAGGACAACTATAAAAAAAATTAAAACACCAAATCTTGACACGGATATGAAGGAACCAAAAATATTATCACATTGAATACTTTGCTGGTGAGAGTATAAAATGTCACAGCCACTTTGGTCTTTTATAATATGTCCATTTATCCACCAATTCCACTCTCAAGATAAATGAAAAAATATATATGCCTGCTGGTATAGGAAATATATCTAAATTATACATATAAATTACGTATATGTATGTATGTGTATATATATATATATATATATATATATATATATAGTTTATAGTTGTCAAACCCTAGGAAAAATCAAAATATCAAAAATGAACAAATCTTGAGTCAAAAATACAATACTTAAAAATTAACGAATAGTTATACAAAACAGTATGATCTAAAACTACTATGCTAAGCAAAGACACTAGAGTACATACTATATTATTCATTTAGATATAAAATTCTTAGACAGGTAAAACAAATTTATGTACGAGCCAAAATCAAGTATGCGGTAATCTGAGGAGGGCGGTAAACTGATGACAAAGAAGCCGTAGAAAACTTTTAGGGTAGATAATTTATAAAATGTATTTTTGCCTGACAGTGTTCATGTTCATTTGTCAAAACACATCAAGGTTTACACCTAAAATCTACTTAAAATTGAATGTAAATTAAAGTTCAGTACAATTAGTATTTGAGCCAGGGCAGGGTAGTTAATAGCAACTTGCCGGGGGCGTAGGGGAGAAACAGATATTATCTAGGTTGCTAGGAATCTATTTATGGGCTAAAGATTAAAGTAAAAATTTAATAGCAACGAGCCAGGCACGGCGGCATTCACTTGTAATTCCAGAACTGCAGGAGGCTGAGGTAGAAGGATCACAAGTTCCGGCCCAGCCTGGATAACTCAATTTAGCAAGACCCTGTCTTAAAGCAAAAAACAAAAAAGGCTGAGGATGTAGCTGGACGCAAAGGCCAGGTACTCAATCCCCCCCCCCCTCGGGGGTGGGTACGAGCTTGTTTGAGTCTTCTAGAGGAACAAAAACAATGGAAGGCATTGCGTACGCAATAAAGCCGTGATATGGAAGAATAATTCGTTCTGCTCATAACCCCAAAGCTCTTGTATATCAAAACAGAAAGAAGCAGTTGTGACCCTGTGACCTCGGCCTGACCTGACGTACTACAATTATCGCTGGTTTCTCGACTTAAAATTTCTTAGAAATGTTTGCTCGCCTTGCAGAACACTCACAGGCCAAGTCACATACAATCCAAGATTTGACTCCTGTAAAAATAGTAAACAGACTGGACTGATTGGCTTACACGGTCAGAGGCTGGCAGATCCCAAGCTGGCAGTCTGCACGGCACGCCTCAGACAGAGATGCTGACGGCCTCAGAACAAGCGGCACCAGTGATGCAGCCCCATCTTCTTCTGCGTCCCTGCAGAGTCACCGCTGCAAGCGAATATTCAAAGACTGAAGGCCCAAGAGCTCCGGGTTCACGCCTAGCAGCACCCCAACTCCAAGAAGAACCACGCCTGCGCATTTGTGAACTTCCGCTTTGCCTTTGCTCCATCCGGGTCCTCGGCCTATTTGAGAGCACCGCCACACTCGAGGTTGATCTTTCCTTGGTCCGGTGACTTGCGTGCCAATCCTGCCTGGAAACAGCCTCAGGTACACACCCGGAAGTGTTCTTTACCAATATTTTAGACATTGCTCAGTCCAGTCAAGTTGATAGTGGAGATTAAACATCATGCACGCTGGATTGGGCGGCACGTATACTAAAATTATCCATCACAGGAGGTATAGATGTAAGCCTATATCACCAGAGAGAAAATTTTGTGATTGAACCGTAACAGAAAAAGGTGGGAGAGGACTAGAAAACATGCAAGAACCCAGAAAAAGTGTGTGAATGTATCAATAATTTAAAATATAAAAGACACTGTTTAATAGCGAGAGGGATTTTTCAGTGTTAACAAAAGCCGAACAAATAGCAATAGTAGACATGAAGAAACAGAAAAAAACACACTAGAAAATGGAATTCAAAGAATGAACTGGACATGGTGGTGCACACGTGTAATCTCAGCACTCTGGGAAGCTGAGACAGGAAGATCAAAAATTTAAACAAGCCAGGGCAATTTAGAGACAGTAAGATAATGTTGAAAATTTTTAAAATTATTAATTAGAAAAATGGTTGGGGATGTAACTCAGAGGAAAGGTCCTGGGTTTAATATCCAGTACCCCACCCCCCCGAAAAAAAAAGTACATGTGGCACTGTGACTATTATATACAGTAAAGTCAGTGCAGCCAGCTAAATCTCATCATGAAAATAGTATTTAATAAATAGTATAATTTACCACAATGTGAATTTTGAATCTTTGTTATCCTCCAAGTATGCTTTTTTTTTTTTTTTGTAAAATAATTCAATTAAAGGAAAAGAATGAAACATACGTATAGGATCAACAAGGCATGACAACACAATGAGGGCATTATAACATCTCACAGTATCTTTTCCTGATTCTCAGTCATTCGACCTTAAAATGCCATTTGGAGGACACCCACATTCTAGTTTAAATGTCCATAGTTCAGAACAATCATTCCTCTCTTTTTCAGGAGCAGTTTAAATAAAGGTGTGGCCCATTTCAGTCTCGGCAGATCTCTTAGCACCTCAGGCGACAGCACCTTCATAAAAATGTAAGATTATTTCCCAATTTTCTCCAAGGACAATAGCTAGTTACTTATGATTTTTGTCATAACTAGAACATTCCTGCTAACATAATATAAATCCCTCAAAACTTCAATACGCTAAAAAGTCTCAGATTGAAAATAATACTGTGTAAGGGGCAAAGGATTTTGAGGAAGAGAAGTGGAGACCTCTGACACTGTCGGGGCACTAACATAATAACCATCCTTAAGATGTTCAAGTACAGTTAAGTAAGAAAATAGGTCTCACAGGCCCTTAGTTTGATACCTAGCACAGAGAGAGAGAGAGAGAGAGAGAGAGCACCCTACTGCAGCATCTTCAGTTTCACCTGTTGTCCCTTGGTAAGATCCAAGCATTTATCTCCTGTGGTAAGTCAGAAATGGTCAATGTGCTGTCTTTGTCATAATGACATTATTTCCTACTTATAGGATATGTTAACCAATTTGCATTAGAGGAACACTTCTTAGGTCGAAAAAGCTTGTACTTTATTCTTAGTGACAAAAGCATTATTGTTGTTGAAGAACACTTTTCAGGTGAATTTTTCAAAGCAATAAGAAGACAAAACTAACTACTACTCCCTAAAAGACAAAATGTAAATGTTAAAACAATCAAAATACAAGAAATTGGGCCCAGGGATTTAGTTCACTGGTTCCGCCGCCTGCCTCACAAGCACAAGGAACTGAGTTTGATCCCTATTGTACCAAAAAAAAAAAAAAAAAAAAAAAAAAAAAAAAAAAAATAAAAAAAAAAAAAAAAAAAAAAAAAAAAAAACAAGAAAAATATGCATCTCTTCCCATCACTCATTTTCCTAGTCAATAAGTTATGGCTCACCGAAAAAGGTAGTATCTAGCACCTGAAAGTGTTTACAGAAGGTAATTAATGCCCACAAAAGTGAGATCAATGTTGAGAATGCATTACAGTTTTCAAAAAGCTAAGTAATGTTATTCGAAGAACTGTCATTTGTACGTAAATGGGCAGAGAGAATTTTTTTTTTTTTTTTAATTGAGTTTATTGGTACATTTAGGGATACAGTACAGTTACATTCATTGTTGGGAGAATTTTTTACCTGAGATAGCTCAACTTACTCTATTGTCCCAGTAAAAAAATGTTTTGGTTTTAAAAAATCACATGGTAATTCTACCTATGAGGTTAATTTTACCCTTTTTTTTTACAGCATGATAGTCTATTGTTTTTGTTCAAATTAGTTAAATATAAAGAGTATGTATGTAGCAGAGAACCAGTAGGAGTAGTTAGCATGCAAAGCAGCCTAATCCAGAATCAACCTTGGAAAAGTGCTTAGTTTTCACCAGACATGGGAATACCTAACTCAGGAGCAGCTAGGACGACTATTTTGTTTTCTATTTTGTTTTGTTTTTTAATTAACTTTGTCTTTCAGTGTGGGGTGTACAATCCAGGGCTTCAAGAATTCTAGGCAAGCACTTAGGGCCATTGTTTTAAATATGTAACTGAACTAAAGGACTTGTTGGTTAGGTAAGGGGCGTTTGAAATAATTACACTGAACAAAGTTCAAGACAAGCATTGTGCAGGAAGACTATAACAGGTGCCTGTAAGTGGTGAAAGGAATCTGGGAAGCTCAATAGTCTAGGTCCTTCAGAGATCACTGGTTTTGGCTCCTTCCGTAGAAAGGAGGATGCAGTTGTGTGGCTGAACCACAAGAAATCCTGCGATCCTGCCAACAGCATTGTGTTGTTTCCACCTTGGAGTGACTTTTTACCCCAGGTGCTTATTAGGATTCCTGAAAAGATAGAAAGCAAGGACTGTGTCCATACCCCAGAACAGGATTTATAATTGTTTCTGTGCCTGCTTGTTGATGACTGTTGGCATACATGGCAAAATCATCCTGAGACTTTTGGTTCATTCTAACATCGTAACAGGTAGTGAGGCTGAGTGCAAGGAGGCACGCAGCAGCCGTATCTCTAATTAGGCTCTAGCACTCATCAAAAGAGGCTTACAAATGTAAGAGGTCAAACTGATTCAGTTTTCAACGCAAAAAAATTTTAATGAAATAATGTGCCTGTAGATGATAGTTCTTTTTTATTTTTGCTTTTTGCCTTTGTTTTTTGATTTGAGCTTGTTTTGATTTGGCAAAATAAGTAAGAGTTAAAATTCTATGACTTATTGGTATTTTGCTTTATTTTATTTGCTTTCTGTTTACAAGTGCATAGTTTTCATCTGTTTGGACCAATACAATTGAAACCACTAATCCAAAATCTCCATTAAATAGAAAGGACAGGAACTGTGATAGTCTGTCAGAGCTACCATAAGAGAATTCCATCAATTATGTAGATTTTTTAAAATTCTCTCTCATGAAAAGAAACTTACTTCTCTTGAATTGGTCAAGGAGACAACAGATTGGGTGTCTGATGAGGATTTGCACTTGACTCAGAGTCAGCTGTTTCTTGCTGTGTCGCTACACATCAGAAGGGTTGAGGAGCTCTCTGGAGTTACTCTTAGAAGGCCACTAATACTATTGATGAAGGATCTGGCCTCCCAAAGGCACTACTTCCTTATCTTATCAGAGGAGGAATTGGGCTTCATTGTATGGGTCTGGGTATAAATAATCAGCCTATAACTGACATAGTAAAAGAGTCAGTACATGAAAATATGTGGCTTAAAATGTTATCAATCTTAAATTTTAAAGGATATGATTTTGTTATTAAATAAATGGTAAATTGGCTGGGAGAATGTCTTAGTCCATTACCGCTGCCATAACAAAATGCCTGAGACAGACATTCATAAACAGCAGAAATTTATTTCTCACATTCCAGGGCAGGGAGGATGAAAATCCTAGATTAAGGCATCAGCAGATGCAATGCCTGGTAAGGGTTCTCTAGCTCCAAGATGGCTCCTTTTGCTGAGTCTTCACATGACAGAAAGGGGAAGGACAAAGTGGGTGATCCTCCTTCAAAGCAATTTAGAGGAGCACAAAGTACATTCTTAAGGGCAGAGCCCTTACAACATCCTAAAGACTCCACCTCTTAAAACTACTGCAGTGGATCTTTGGCTCTAACATGAATTGTAAAGAAACACAAACATTCAAATAGCAACAGAGAAGGACAAGAATTTATTAAGCAAACTTCAGTATGTTGGACTTGAAGCAAATGCAACTTTTTTCAACTGAAAGTACAGGATTAGAGCCCAAGAGAGTGCCAAGAATGCATTTTATTTATCAACTATTTCTGATCCCTTTCCATGTGTTAAGTAACGTGAGAAATTGGGCATATATATATAT